CTGAGATTTCCACGTAGGATGAATTTGTAGCCCCCATCCCCCCGTATACATATCTGGCGCTATTAGGCCTAGTTAGGCTCGAAGATTGTAGCGTGTGCATCCTCGTACGAGTTTCATCGGCACTGTGGCGGCTGCACCGATCACAAGGAGACCCATGTAGGAAGTTCGAACAACTTGTCATGACCTGCGACAGTGACTGCGGTTCTGTACAACCTGGCTTGTTGAGTCAGCTCGTGGATCTTTACCTTTGAGTGGTAACTGGAGTAGTCAAGTATCTGGCTTTTGAGTCAACTCGTGGACCTCTACCTTTGAGTGGTAACTAGACTTGTCAAGTATATCGTACCAGGATCCAGGTACACTGTGAATCAGGCTTTTGTTCAGTTCTCCAGCGGCAATTGTGATGAGATTCGGCATGACTTTTTGGGTCTTGCAATAAATATTTACTCGATGCAAATCACTTTCGACCTTTGTTTAAATTTCCAAGTTATCCCCTTCTTTAAGGATTAGAACTCTCACTACATTTTTTACTTTACATTTTAGTATGAATTCCCTTGGTACCCCTCTGTACTCCCTCAGTGCTCAAAGGTATTCGATTCAGAAGCGAGAAACGAAGAAGTCAATTCGAAGAGAGATCCGAATGCTTAGTGCGGAAGAACGTCAAAAGTTATGGAATGCGATGAATGCTCTGAAAGAAACGAAGATTGATAATATAACCGTATGGGATCTGCACACGCTCGTTCACTATCCGGACAGTGCGCCAGGTAAGACATCTTTTAAAGACGAGTTATCACGCTTATGGAGCTGGTAGCCCGAGCTAAGGAGAAGCGCACCTCTAGCGTTCTTCATACAGCTCAATCGATATGCGATCATTATTTTATGCACAATTCTACTATTAGTACTTTTGTTCTTGTATTTCTTACCTACTGCTGCATTCTGCTACATTCCTTCGCGCGCGACGCCCCTCTCACCGTGACGCGACCATTTCGTTCCTAATGCACCACACCCGCTCCACCTAGCGATGAGAACTCGCTCAACCTCAACGCTACCTCTTTCTCTGTCAGTCTCATGACAAGAACCAGCTGTTTTTCAGGCTGTGTTCTTGTTGGCGTTAGGATCAAAAACTGTCCTCTTCAAGTATTTTAGACCCGTCTCGCTTTGGCTACGCTACCTTCTGCTACATTCCTGATATGTCCAGATTATTCAAGTTTTTATTCCATCATTTGAAACTGGAGTGGGTAGGATGTGGATGACCTAGCTGGTTTAGTGTGTTCGATTCGAACTTGTCTTTGTGGAAAACCCTGAACTGAGCATGGGCTTTCGAGATGAAGCACTCGCTTGTCCACCTGCTACCCCGTAAGTGTGTAGTCTGATTATGCACTCAGACGGCGGTAGGATCTAAGTTGAAAAGTTGGATGTGACGTAATTTTGACGGAAACACATTCAATAACAACAATTTTCTCCCTGTCCCGTCATTTCTTTCCTCTATATGATGAGAGGGAATTGAGAGGTAACTGGTTTGCTGAAGAGATTTCTACCTGTACCAAAGAATCCTTTGAAAAACCGTCTATGGACCAAGTATCGGATACCGGACAAGGTTCCATGAAATAACCATCTCTAACCCAAATTGGCTTGTTCTACCTGCACCCACAATTGAAGCTGTTAGATGGGATCAGGAACTTGAATATAGCCAACCCGACCAGTAGAGCGGAGATGATGTAAAGACAGGTGGCGCCCTATGGCACACTCGTGGTCCGGGTTCGAATCTCCGATCAATTTGGGCCTGTCCAACCAGGCCTTCCGTCCTTCCTGGTCGGCTAATTGGTAACAGACTCTGCTGAAAGGATAAAAACACTGCCTTGTACATCGACTGGCCACGGTNTAGGTATTAGTAGGATGCGGGGCGCATCCTAGAAACGGGATTGATTTGCGCTGGATGTTTTATCCTTTTTTGAACTTTCACCAGAATAGAAGATGTGTAGGTCCTCCAAGGGGCCATTTTACATCGTGTTTACAATTAATTTTTGAACCAACAGTTGGAGAGAAGTAGCCAAGCACTTTTTGGGAAGGTCATAGTCCAAAAACACATTCATCTTATTGTCTGCCATAGCGAATAACAAAAAACACCCTTCGACGGGGTCGATGTGGATTCAACAGTTTTCATTAGGGATTCAATATTGTGTTGTCTTGAGAATTTGATTTGCCAAATTGTTACACTTCGTGACTTCCCGCAGTCTGAGTTCCAGCTTGTGCCGGTTCTGCAACCTTCTTGAAGATTTCAATCTTCGTTACATAGAACTATTCAGAAAACTGGTAACGACTATCTAAAAAACTTGTTGTGTGCCATACGATACTTATGCATCGATGCACCAAGTTCTAACAACTTAGCAAAAATCGTCCGAGCGAAAGTTACAAAAACTTTTTCGGGCCTACGATCTTTCAGTTTCAAACTGGCGGTTCTTCCATGCCTACAGTAGAAAATGGTTTAGGGAAGGATCATTAGGTAGGCCTTAAACACCGACATCTCCAGGCTCAAACAGACCTTTCTTGCATAAACTTTTGACCAGGGAAAACGCCTTCTGACGTCGATCAATCTCGTTTTTGGACGTGCACCGCATTCGACTTCCAGTCAGAATCGTAGTGGCATATTGAATGTGTAGACGGCCCATGCAATAATTTGCGCTGGCCAGCCGATGTACAAGTCAGTGCAATGGAAATCATTCGCCGTTGCGTCATGCAAACGACTTAAATACGAAATCTGAGTGATTCCGCCTCTGGTGATCAAATAAGTCCCGTAGGATAAAGGATTCATTTGGCTGGATGTGGTTTCGTCCAAAACTCGATCCCCAACTATTTAAGTAAAAGAGGGACCAGTTGCCACTGCCACACCTCCGAACTTGTATACCCAGTTAATCGCCTCCCATACAGGTCGAACGAACCCAGGAAATCGTTCTGAATCTGGTGTTTTTTCTCGTGAGCCCCGCTGTTTCAGTTGACCCAAATAGGAGAAGTGAAGTTCAGAAAGACCAATTTGTAGGAAAGTTCTCGGCTACTTGAGTGTCTGCAGTTAAGAAATGAAATCGATCATTATATGAAATGTAGTAAAGTCAATCATTGTATGAAAAGGACTACGTGATCACGATCATAGTCGGCGCTGTTCTTGTAGCTTTTTCGAGTTGAAAGGAAACATCCGTACGTCTACGTGACCACCTCTTTTTGAACGTGAAATAATGTGATCACGTAGCCAGTCGGATATTCTTTTGCGTTCTACCAACATCCGTGAAAATCCAGTTGCAATCAAAAAACCAAAGAAAACTGAAAGTGGGAATGTAAGGGCACCGCCTGGATGCCTTCTCTCAACGCCGTCTCACCCGAGCCGGTCTAACGGAATTTTGCCAAAAAACTTGGGGCTTCTTTTGAAACGAGGGAAATTTGTTATTGTTCTCATCGATTGAAAAGCCGGTCATTTTAAAGAGTTTCACTTCTGACTGGAGTGTAACTCGTCAAACACAGTCGCTGTCCCATCAGTCTACCTAGGTTTCCACGGAATAGCCTCTGGGGAAAAGCGCTTGAGCCAGGATCTTCCGGTGGACACTGTCGGTGTAGGGTAAGATTTATGAATCGAGACCCACTACAGCCACCTAAATCCTCCATTCTTGGGGTCAGTCACTGGCTCCCTTCAAGAAGGAATTTTGAAATCAGAGGTTTATGCAAGGAGGGACCTCTGTCACTTAGTGATGATTGAGCCGAATGATTCTTCAGAATATGACAAAAATCTATATGGAATCAGATCTGGCTCGTCCTAAGACCGACCAACATGGGGCCCTTGATTTCTTTTTTTTCAAAGTTTTTTCTCAACTTGTTTTGGTTGTTCCAACTGCCTAAGGTTATATATAGGGATATCTTGTTTTAAGGTTCACCCATAATTTCTTGAAAACAGAGTGCGGTATCGTGAATGCGGCAGTAGGCCATATAGGCGACAATCGGCGACTATAGGCGACGGTAGGCGACTGTAGGCGGCAACGAGTGGCAACGAGTGGATTTCTACGTTCTAATCTTAATAATCTTACATGTTTCAGGCGCTCATTGGGGACCGGCTTTTCTCCCATGGCATCGTGAATTCCTACGTCAATTCGAGGTCGCCCTTCAGAATGAAGATCCATCGGTTTCCCTGCCGTATTGGGATTCGACACTGGACCAAGGTTTGCTTCGTGACCGAATATATTTGCTCCATAAGATTTTCTTTGCACTTGTTTATTTTTTCTTCTTTTTTTTTATTTTTTTTTTGAGTGATCCTTTGTTCTGCTTACTTCTGGAGCATTGAATTGGTTTGTAGTAGTTTGCCTTGGGCTTCTATATGAAACAAGAGGACAGGGGTATGTGTACGAACGTGCGTCCGAGGATGCGCGCGGCAAATTGCGCGGCGGAGCTCGTAATGGTTTGAACGAGTTCGGCGCCTGTCATTGGGGCCCAAATTTGAAATAGAGTGGATTAGGAGGATCATCCGACCTTACTAAACCACACTACTTTGAGTTTGTGCCCCGAAAGTTGGCGCCGCAGTCGTACAAATCGTCACGAACTTTGCCGCGCAATTCGCCGCGCGCACCCTCGGACGCACGTTCGTACCGTCCCCCAGAGGACAGAGCAGGGTTTGGATGACTTGTCTGATTCTACCAGAAGTGAGTGGGATAGAAGGAACCACGTCTGGTGTCTGGCTTCTTTGATAGTACGCCGAAGTCTTAACAGGATTTGAATAGAACCTTGACTTTTCCTACTTCTGGTCTTTTCCTACGAAACGGCTTCATGGCTTATCCGGCTTATCTCGAACCAGGCCCATCACAGACATAAAAGTGCTTTCGATCCCGTTCAATGGTTTTGCGGCCGTGCATTCGCGAGACTCGGGCCATTCGTGAAGTGTAGTCAAGGGGAAAACAGGACTCATATTATAGTCGATTTATCGACTAAAAGACGTCAGTCGATTATCGATCGGCTCTCCGTGAGAATATCCTTCCTTATGTTATTTTCGAAGAGAAAATGAAATATTGGCAACTCATGAGTTAGTGCCACTTCCCCGTGTAAAACCGCTGTAAAACAAATTTATGAACTAATCGATTGATCGGCTATGGAAGAACTGAACATCCTTCATCGTGAGCGACGTTTTGGTGTTTGCGTTCCAAGGAAGGATTCCGATCTGAAAATGCAAAAAAAATCTAACCCACTTTGGTTCTGGTTTACGCCCTTTCGTCATCTCCCAGGCATGGATGAGTCAGCTGTCAATTTGTGTGTTTGTGTGGGGAGTGGCCAATGATGAATGTTACGATTTTTCATGTCGCTTTAAGTTCGATTACGTTGGAATGTGGGGGCTGTATGACGTCCGTAAGCGAATTGCATATTGTCATAAGTTGATGGAGCGTATAAGGGAGGCAACTGATGCGTGTCATGACAAAGACGGACGAAACCAGTTCTGTTCCCATCGACTCGATCACGACATCACTATCATCGCTGACAAACGATGCTCTTCATGAATCATCGGGACGAGATCAAAGGCTAAATTGAAGCGGTATAGGTAGCTGGAAAAATAGAAAAAAACGACGTAATGTAGAAACGACGAGCAAAGGATGGAGGATGAAGTCTTCCTATTAGATCGGTCCGCTTTCCCGTCCCACCATTCGACTTCAATTTACATCTGTGAATGCGTATATGGCCTATACCATGACTTGTGTTGGCCAGCTGAAGTAAAAGCCAGTACTTTCGTTCTTCCGCATCGAATAGTACCGAATTTCCGACCCGGGAGTTTGGTTGTCCTGAACTTGGTTCCTGGATTCGATTCACGACCAATGGATATGTGATAGCGCGGCACCTAGCACTTCACCCCTCCACCCTTCCTTCCCGCCAATCTTCCAGAAGTTGAGGAAGTGTCAAAGTGACTGCCGGATTACTTCGCTCGGGATCAAATCCCGGATCGATATAAGCCGGAGCCAACGAAGCCTTCTGAATCTCAGGATTCGATAAATGATAGCAAACTCGTATGGGAGGATGAAAGCTTACCTGTACATCTACTACCTAACATTTTGTCCATTGTATAGACCCCATAACAATCACTTTATTTTTCTCCTACATTTAGCGGTGCCTCTATTCAGGCCTACCAGAGCCATCAGATAGTGTGATGTGGAGCGATGAGCTGCTTGGAAACGGTAATGGTTATGTGAAGACGGGTCCGTTCAAGAATTGGGACACCAACGTTCTGATGCCATTGAGTCAAATACCCGTGAAGAAACTTTACAGGTCAGACAGCTCCTTTCACTTCTGAGTTCTCTGAAACGGATAGGTAGAGGAGTGCTGAACCCGCTTTTGTTTTCAATAGCTTTCAAGTTAATTCATTCACCAGTAGCCTCATCTAACCAGGGTTTACTGTATGCTACCAAATTAATTCGTGATTTTACATTTGCTATCAAAATAGAAATATGCTATAAATATGCTGAAATATGCTCGGGTAGTGAAACCTTCAGTCACTAGACATTGTGTTATATTACCTATTTTAAAGGCACAGTTCACGATAATTTTGGGTAATCCAGATTATGAAGAAAAATGGAAGACAACATCGAAAATAGTACGGTGAAGGTGAAGAAACTGCGTGCATCGGTATTTCTAAAGTAAAAAAAGGCTTCCAAAAATCGTTAAAAAGGGGGCTGGACGAGAATGAAATAAGAAAAATGAAGAAGAGTGAAGTTCGGACGAGCTATACAATGTGTTTCACTGCGTACTGTCAGTCCTGGTGCAAATAACTGACTACGGTAAGCAAAAATTCGTCGACTTATAAGCATACATAAACAAAAAACCCTAGTAACAGCAAAAGTAGCTCACCTTTTTCAACCTCTAGGAGTAGGAAATTGAATAAGGGATTGCGGCAGCAAAAAGAATAACAGAGGAAACAAGAATGGTAGAGAAACATCGCCTCATCGCTCGGCGATCAGCTGATTGTGTGTGGGTCCTAGAACGAATAGTTGCAATCTGTATTGTCTTAGAGGCACAGTTCACGATAATTCGAAAGGCGGGAAAAGCGGGGCTTTCCCGCCTTTCGAATTATCGTGAACTGTGCCTCTAAGCTATATTCAGAAGTTGTGGGTTGTGCGTTCTCATGTTAGGTGTGAACTGCTTTCTCGATCAAAATCCTTTTGACCATCTTTCGAGGGTATCGTTCAGTGTCTATGTTATTAATCACTTAGATCCACTGGTGGTCGAGAACAAGATCGTCTACTGACACCGCGTGATATCGAATGGATAACATCTAGAAAGAACTACAGGTTGGCTAATTTTGTCACAATTTCTATTGTTTGCTTTTACTTTTGTACCGCATTTTCTTTTTACTTTGTTCTCAATATAAACTGATTAGCGCTTATACTCAAAAATTTCACGAGATGAAGAAAATCTGAGAAATTTCATTCCGATGTCATTAGAAACCGCACTTACTCGGTAATATCGTGTCTTCTGAACAAAAATAAAACGAAATGTCGAAGATCTCAATGTCGTAGAGCTCGGAAGCTATACGCCGTGATGCGCCACGGACTTGAATTATTCAGAAATGTGCGGCGAGTGAGATAGGCTCTAGGCTCAAGCGACCTGTAGGAAATATTCAATGTACTCCGGCAATTTACCCCTTTAGGACGAGTCTGATGTTGTTTGTTTAATCTATGCGGGCGAAAAATGTTGAATGACCTGGGCGAATTTCAGACTATCAGGTGTACCACATTACCATCCTGTGAGTCTACTGTTCTACCTTGCCATCATTTCAAAAAGTTTTTTCTTTGTGGGGTGCTCAAAACACGAGACTTTGATGGGGTCATTCTAGATGTTTCTTTTGATAGTTCCTGCGGTTTACAGTAATGATGACCGACTTAGTGGATTCGTTTCAAAACACCGTTGCCGGGTAGTTAAAAAAAGAACTAGGGCTGAGGTTAGAAACGTCGGACGAAAAAATTCTTGGGCAATTGTGACGGGGAAGCAAACTGGAATGCACCCTGGTGGAAGTGAGCCTTTGCAAGAACTTTCTCCAACAGTTGGCTAATTCAGTTCGAGTATGCCCAAGCTTTGGACTTTCATTAAGAATTGTTGCAGCGTTTGGATGTGTATTTGGACTAAATAGCCAGTCGATTGCGGCACCAGCCAAGTCGTCGTTTCATACGAATCTGGTAGTAATGTACCGATCCCAAATATATAAATTATGGTCGGCCTTGCCGCTTATCAAGCCGGTGATTTGATCCAGAAAGCACGGGTGTGGCAACGGCTCCACTTCGCGCTTCTCCATGTCCGCCATAATAACTACGTAGGATATCAGATTACGACATCGAGCTTCACTACTTTCCACCAAATCCCGTTGGGGTACTGCCCTTTCTTTGGGATCGTCCTTGTCAATTTAAAAAGCTGCGCATCCTTAATGGTAGGCTTACAACACAGTTTAGCTAAAACTAGTTTGGCTACATCAACGGCTGTGCGGGATCCAACTCTAATGGATATGACCGATGTCTGAAATGCACATGACCGGATTCGAGCACCGTACAAGGCCTGAGACTTCTCTTATGAAACTTTTGGTAATCAGAAGAGTTATACGTCAGTGTTTAGGACTGCGAGAAGTATTGAATTTCCCAGATCGTTTTTTCCTAGACTTTACACTTGGTATGACCGTTCATGGCCTTGACCCTCTTTGTTCATTCTGTTAACAGTTTAAAGTATCGAAGATGTAGTGGTATAGGTTTTTTTAGTTGACTGCAAAATTATCAAAGGTCACAACTGAGACGGTTTATCGATGGCTTCTCAGTGGTATGCACGGCAGCTCGAAAGGCAGAAGGGGGAGGGGTCGATCAGAGAAGTTGGAGCGAATGCGCCATGCGTTAGGGAAGTATCAAAGTATGCCAATTCACCAGCGCCACCGTAATCCAGTGCTCTGTGATTGTAAAAACCAGAATGAGGTGGTGTATGGTTATTCGGGATAAGAATGATAGCATCGATGCTCGATAGTAATGTAATAACGAAATAGGGACGAATTCGAAAAGATTGGTTGTTTTTGTAAGAGTACAGTTCCAACCTTGTACGAAGCAACCACCTATATCGGCTTCCGTGCCTTCTCTCACTAAGAGGAATTCGGGTGAGCCATTTCTGAAGGGCAATCATGGAGGAGGGCGTTTGAATCGAGATTTTCGGGAGATATTAATGATGAAATTATTCTATCAAAAAAAGTCAATTCCTCAGATGAATTAAAGGGGCTAACGTCAATCGCACACACGCCAAAACAGGCTTCATTAGCTTAAATGTACCACTGTCACGAGTAATTTATTTGACAGAATGCAGACGTGCAAAAAATCATCCGACTGACTCGTCTTTTAGTGGGAGTTCTTACCGACTTCATCAAACTTCAAGCTTTTAAAGCATCATAACCATCATAACCGCAACTTCAGGTGTTAGGCTCGCGTATCATTGCTGAAAGAATAAAAATTTTCTGTGACCACGGTGCCTCTAGACTCCTCATGGTATGTTTGCTTTTTCCTGGACAATGAAATTTTTCAAACGTTCTAGTTATAAGAACGGTTAAAGCGATGGTAAGCTTAAGAAAACCGTCCCTACTTAAGTTTAGGTTATATGTACAAATACATTTATAGATTTATTTTTTACATTTGTAGTAGCAGTTCCCATTACAATCTCAGCTTATGACATTTTCTTTCAGCCAGCTAACGTTCTGCCACGACAAGACGTTTGAAAGTATGCATGGCCTTAGTCACGTGTGGGTCGGAGGATTCATGTTTGTCATACGGTATGATCTAATGATAATCCCTTGAATAGTTCGAAGCCTTCGGAGCTGATCATGGATTTTCCGAATGCTTTTCCTCGTTACTTATTAGTCTGTTATTTTAACATTTTACTAATTCATTTATTATTCTGCTCAGTCCTCATTTTTTATTCCTCAATACCTGCTCACTGCATAGAATATACTTCTTCAATTAAGAAGAAATCCAGCAAATTTGAAAGTATTCAAAACAAATTTGGACAGAGCGTGGTTGGACACTTATACATCACAATATACAAATCACTGTTATTTCTGGAATTCTATTAGCATTCTTTTTTTTTTTCTTCATTCAATTGAGACTAATTCAATAAAAACCGAAAATAAAGGGTCAACAAACTTAGGAAATATTAGTGAAAGATGAAATTAAAATTTGAAGCCAATTTTATGCCGACTACGCCTTCCGAACAAGCTTCGCTACTGTGAGTGCAATGAAACATTTACATAAACGACAACAAATTTCGCACCTCTCTGTTGAGAAAGCTGTCACTCATCTTGTTGTTTTATTACTCATTACAAATATTAACATAAATATCTGTATTTTTTTGTTGATTGCTTGTGTTGAGTCATGGATTTTTTGTGCAGTACCTAGACTTCCTTCAGGCTTGATGAAGAATTCATACCAGTAAAGTTGAATCATGAACAAACACCGAAGTGAAAGATTTGAATCTGTGTGAGGTGGCTCAGAGTTCCAAACATTTTTTCGTACTTCGAGAAATGACTATAAATTTTTGTAAAGTATTCTGGACGCTATTCGATTCTTTTAGATCCTTTTTAGAGTCACCCTTCTATATAATCTTTCTCTTTTTAATTTGGTGTTGATTTGTTCAGGGTGAGCCCGAACGACCCGATGTTTTATCTTCATCACGCTTTCGTCGACTATTTATGGGAGCAGTTTCGACGGAAACAACAAACTCCAGAACAAAGAGAAACACAGTGGGCTAAGGTAAGACTTTTGCTTGTAATCAGCTGAATATGATTGATACAAGATGACAAGTCCGAATGTTGCGCCATGTATGTGTCTTTTCCTAGAGGCGGTTTTCGAATGATTAGTCTGCCTGAAGGAATTGCGGTTGTAAACCGATACAAAGACAGCGGGTTGGTTTCACTGAGTGATATCTCTAGTCTGCAAACTAGGAAATCCTAAAGGACAAGAATTTTTCTCCCTCAGAAAACTATATACCCAAAATCCTTGATATTATTCTGGTTACAATGTTTCTCATTTTTATCCGGTGTTTCGCCCAAGGAATCGGTGCTCGCTCTCGCGTCTACTCAACATTTTATTACTCCTCTTCTTTTTGGTATTACGTAATATGGAGCCTTCCTAGGAAGGAAAACATAAACAATCTCGAGTTTGTACAGCGGTACTTACGAAACCAGTGAATTGCCGATGTCTCAATCCAAAGCCGGAAGAATCGCCGTCTTATGATAATCGTTTGAAGAATGTGGGGTTGAAACGTATGAAAACGAGAAGAGTGATGCTTGGTCGCAAATGTTATATTAATTAGAACTTATGGACTTCAAAGCTATGTTTTGGAAGACCGCTGAGGTTTAACTTGTGCCCAACAATTTTAAAAAACTCGTTTTTTGAATTCCTTTTCTTTCGCATCGCTTCACATGCTTTGAGAGAATTCTTCGGTAAAGAAGTAGTCAAATAAAACAAAACGGCTTCAAATGAATATTAAAATATCTAGCGTTGCAAGAAGTTCTGCCGAATGAGTAAATAGAAGAACGTTGTCGGTGCCGAAGCCTAACATTTTTTATAAATCGGCAAATTAAATGAAGATTACACCTTCCAGGACACCTGCAATTCATTACATGGATACGACGAGCAGATGAAACCGTTTCGTCTCCAGAATCGTGACGGACTCAGTAATCAGTACACCAATGAATGTTATGTGATTAAATACTCCGAATACGGTAGTTGTGGCTGGTATACTGTAAAGGTTATAGGTATGATTACGAACCCGTGAGGCACTGTAACGCATCGAAACCGGACTGTGATTCCCCTTACTACTGGTGTGATATGAGGGCATGGCGTTGTCGAAGTAAGGTAAGGCCTAGATCGAATTCATTCAAATCATAAATGCAGCATAAATAAAAAACAAATAAAGCGCTCTAAGCATTTGGTTTGTTTGCAATAGGCTCCTGTTGTTTTTCCTGTTTTATCATTTGTTTTATATGAAGGGATGAAGTCTTTGGGCGTTAATTCACAGCACCTGAGGGATGCGCTCCGCATTCGGCTTCCATTCAGTATCGTAAAGGCGAATTGAATGTGTATGTGGCCTATACAATGACTTATAGTGACCAGCCGATGTACAAGTCAATGCTTTGATCCTCCCACAGTTTGGTAACAATTAAGCGACCCTGGAAGGATAGAAGGCCTGGTTGGCCCAAGAAGATATCGGGGCGGGATTCGAACCCGTGACCATGCGCTTATGATAGTGAACCACTACTACTACACCACTTCGCTTTTCGATATACATATACTCGAAAAAANAAAAAAGACTGTTTTCAGGTGGTGCTTGGCGGCAATTGTACTGGCTTCGAAGGAACAGGAATATGTTACAACTCGGCCTGTCGAAACGTAGGTTTTCTTTTGTCCACCAAAAAGTTCACATAGAAATAAATGTGTGAATACAATTAAAAACAAGCTTCTACTTGCGAATGCGCCTTCTACATCTTTGCTGTTTGGTTGCTCATTTGTTTGCCTACTAGTTCATTTATCTACTTACTTACTTTTTCAATTATTGACTTTTTCATTTATACATTCTTCTGGTATTTATTTATTTTCTTATTTGCGTATCTGTTTATTCTATACCTTGATGACCTTATTTGTAAATGAATTCGTTGAGTGTAAAAAAATCAGTTTTGAGAAGTATTATTCGATAATTCTAAATGTAATGATACTGGTAGTGTGAACCTTAATAAGGAGTTGCCATGTTCGATTTTTTCGACGCTCATGGTACCGTAATCGCACATATACCGTACTCCTAAAAATAGAGCCTTGCAGAATCGCTGTCAACTGCCACCGCGATTACTGCAGTCAATGCGAAGTCGCAAATCAGCTGATCCACCAACGGGTGATTATGTATGGACCAAAACGTTGCTTATAGACCAAAATGGCAAAGGTTAGCATAAGAACATTTCGAAATCTTTATGTGGTTTTCATGGGTATCGATTGTTTTCAGGTGTTCATGATGATCTTGCTCATGTCAAAATTATGAATCAGATCACCGGTGAAAATTCAACGGCATATCTGCAGAGTGAACCACAGTATCCGGAAATCGATGTGAGTCAAATAGCCACTTTCTAATTTTTGCTAAACATCCAAATGCCGTGCAGGATGTAAAAGTTAAGGATTTTCCACCTCTGACGGTTGTCCTGGAGGTTAGCGTTACTGTTATGGAGCACGGATTGTCCAGAAAGAAACTAAAAATCAATTTGTTGGAGGAGGCCTACTCATTTTTATTGTTTTGCTTAAATTATTCATGGGAAAGCCGACCAAATTGGTATTTTAGGTCTCCGTACTTTATCACCGTACTATATAGTAATCAGTACAGTTTGTTATGAACTGCATAAGACAAGAGTGAAAATCTGCAGAAATGGAAAAATTTCAGTCTAAAAAGCTCGTTAATTGAAAGCAATTAAAGCAGATTACAGGATAACGATAAAGTCAGCAATCAATCCCGTTTGGGTATGCGCCCCGCATTCAAACTCTTTTGGGAATCGTAGTAGCTTGTAGAGATGGAATGCCTTGTGGGCCCAGACAAGAGTCGATCCTGGGTTCGACTTAAGAATGAAGACAGATCTCTGATCGCAAAACTTTCAAAACCTTCCATGACTGCAGTCTGAGCTTCACAAAAGCCCGAAATTCTGGCTTGAAAATCAGCCCTCCTAGGGTCTGACCTAGCTATCTTTAAAAAACATGGAGGAATAAATTTCACTCGAGGCAGTAAAACCTTTGCAAGAAGGCCTTGTTTGAAGTTTCGTTCCGTAAAAAGATGCTCTACCAAATGCAGGGTATTATCTACCTGCCCATACCAAAACCACGTGCTGGAATGATTCAAGAGGTGTCGCTCGAAGCTCGTGATGGTTTTGGGCGATATTGTCAAGCGCACTGCTACAACGAAACCGAGGAACGCTATCAGGTCAGCTTTCCCTTCTGGGAAGAATCAGAAGACAGTTCTAAAACAGTAAGCCTCAGAGGAAAGACATTTTTGTTTAGGTTTGCCAGCCAAAAATGAAAGTTGGTATACGAGCAGAATCGTCATCACCTCTGTCCTACACCCACTCGATGACATCTAGACGGTACAGTCTATTTCTACTGGATCCGTTTTATTTTTTCTATCTCCTTGCGGAAACAATATTGGAGCAGCTCAGCTGCAGTGCTATCCATCGATATCAATCAATCAATACTGATCGATAATATTTTGACATTTTAAAAAATTCCATGGTGTTTTTACACTAAAAGATGCTTGAGAATTGCCACAAAGCTTGTAGTCCTACTCGAACGTAGTCGACTTGGAATCGAACCAGAGTCTGCATTTTTTTAAGAGAGCGCAGGTAGCGCGACAAACGCGGCAATGCAGAGTCGCCCCGACCCCAGCTGTGGTGCCCACCGCAGGAGACGGGCGTTATGAACGATTTTGGGTAATCGATTTGCCGCACGCGGCTGTCGCGGACCCTCATTCGCCGTTATTACAGCTCTACCTTTCTTCATACAGCTCATTCGATATGCGATCATTATTTTATGCATAATTCTACTATTGGTACTTTTGTTCTTGTATTTCTTACCTACTGCTGCATCCTGCTACATTCCTTCGCGCGCGACGCCCATCTCACCGCGACGCGACCATTTCGTTCCTAACGCACCACACCCGCCCACCGCCACTAAGCCAAAAAAAGTGTCACAGAATACATTTTTAGGTTCCTGGATGTAGACCTATCTGTGCATCCTCGCCAAGTCGTGATCTCTGCTCCATTTATTGTGTTCGCCTGCTCAAGAAAGGTGAGATATCACACTAATCCTCAGACATCGAAGGTACTCCAGTTCGGATTCGACTTTGCAACTTTTTTCTAGTTGATGACGTCGACGATGATCACTTCGTTGGCGGAGAATACTCGACCGCCATCCTCACGTGAGCCGTATGTATGGTTCCGAGTAGCCGTCCATAGTCGCCTATCGCAAAATTTGCAGGTACTTCCATTTTGAACTATTTTAACTAGATTCGAGAAGTTCTAAATTTTTTAGAAAAATGGTCCGAGTAAACTTGCAAAAGTTGAGGCACGCTGACTTCTGTATTGATGGGGAGCTATCCGAGAAACACGTTCAGAATAAAGCGATCAGGCAGGGACAGACAGACTGTAAGACGGGTAAAAAGTAACCGGCAAACAGGCAGAAAGAGAGATAGAGTGAGAGCGAAAGGGGAAGGGACATCCAAAAAATGACGGATCGTAAGAAATTTCTAGGAAATTCGTAAGAAATCTTGAATGGTGAACGGAAAAACGGGTCGCCTAGAGGAAAAAGGATTGAGAAATAGAAGTGATAGCCTAGAAGATGTAGCTGTTTGTGATCCCATATTCAACGAAAATACGAGAAAAGTGTTATACCAGTTGCTTTCAGATTGAAGTTGCTCCAACATCTGGAAAGAAATGGTCGTCCCTGGTACGGAAAGCTGCTTCACCATTCGATCCGAATCTCGTTTTTGTGCAGGTACACCATTCTATCGTAATCGGTCAAACTGCAATATCAAAAGAGAGATTTAGGCTCCCAATCCCGAAATCAGCAGTGGTGGTGGGGTTCAAGTGACAGTCAGCATACTCGAAGATGGTACCAGAATCAAGTGCACCACTAAGTGCACACAAGTCAGTGACTTTTCCAATGGTGACTGTGAGTTCATACTTTCTTGGCTCTATTGCAGAAAGACGGCTCTGTCCATGACTGCAATGGCACCGTTGATCTGCATTCCGATCCGGCTCTTTCTCAAGAAGACGTTTTCACCACTGATCAAGGTGCTCTTCATCTACTCGGATGGAATATGCGTGGCCATCCGGCTCAATGGCGTCACAAAGTACCGTATCTTTCCTTCACTTGCTAGCCATTTACTTACCCTTGTGACTTTCCTGAATCTCATAGCACATTTTGACGTTTCACGACGTTTATCATTCTGAAATATTGTGTGCATTTTCTTTTGTTGATCTTCAAAATGTCTTTGTTCGTACCGTTTATACTCCCAGCGATGTCGCGCTCCCGCGGAGTACGTCATCTCTGAAGTAGCGCTTCATCTGTCTTCCGTTTTACTTGCCACATATTACTGTATTATGAGCTCAATCTCGGGTATTTTGTTGTTTACAAATGTTTATTAAGTAAATCATTCTGCATTGTAAACAACCGAGTGTTATAAAAACTTCGCAGACGGTGCGGACCGGTCGTTGCCTTATCTCATCCGCCAGTATGTCCGTTGTCGATAGTCTTCTCAAATCTCGATTTACTGCCTGTTTTTCGTAGTCAAACGTCAGTAACTGTCTGATATAGTAAGTACAGTATCGCCTTCTGTCGCTCCCATTCGCCTGCAATTATAGCCTCACTCATTTCCGACATTTATCTCCTACCTCCATTCATCGCTTCCTTGTTGTCTCACTTTTCTAATTACTCCTTTTTTGCTCTTCACTTCTACCTTCTCTTGATCGTTCGCTACCGTTCTGTATGGCTTCTACCGCTTACTACCGTCTACTATCGCTCGGTATCACTTGGCATCGCATTCAGTCGAAGCCGTATCGCTATTGATGTTAAGTGATACTTTGGGATACTCAGTGATATTTTGAGATACTCAGTGATACTTTCCTCTTCTGAGCAAAAATGTACCTATCGGAGAAATAGACCTCCTCGCTCCGTTTCGTTGCTTGTAGCTTTCAATCTGGTTATTATCGCAGCTGTTTCCGAGCAGTTGCCGTTTCCTGTTGCTCTCAATCATCATCAGCGTTTTCGCATATCATAAAAACGACATCTTCCATCATCAATAATGGCAACATAATCTTTTTCACTTTTTGGCACCCTTCCGTCACCCTCTACCGGATTTCATCAAATTTCTCGGATTGGAAAGTCATAGAGAGTGGCGGATCTGACATGATTACGATGGTGGAGATAATTCATCATTATAGCCGATCGTGACAGATGTGACCACTGTGACTTTAGGCTCATTGATCATCGACGAATGCACAAATCACAGCGTATTACGACGTAATCATTAGCGTAATCCAGTCATTGAAAGCCCGATGGGAATCAGCCGATTACGCAGTAGAAGCTTCAAACCCCGTATTAGCCCGGTTATGCTGAGAACTGGTTTGAGTGGAAGTTATGGGTTTTCTTGGATTTCTTGCAAGAGCCATATCAGTTTTTTCCTCTCGTTCCTCTCGGTCCCGAAGACACTTGGGCCGAGTTCCGGGAACACTTTCTAGACGAACACCAAAGCCAATCTGGGTTCAATGACAACTGATAGAATTACATCAATAGGGACAACCGAAGCAGGCTACCTACGCAACTTTCGGCCACTGTGAAATACAAGAAAAGGAAGAAAGGGCCCTGTTTCCACTTATTTGTTTGTTTATTTACTTACTATAACCCACAACCTCCTGTCAACTGAATTAAGTGGCCATAGTCTTGAAAAGCAAACAAATCGATCTTGCCGGGTTGGGTACTCGATTGGTGCTTAAGAGATGTCTCGCGTAGCGCAGTGGTTAGGTATGATCGTCGGTCCTCAGGACCGTGGTCATAAGATGGGAACAACCAAGCGTTTTTGCCATTCATCACGACTACTTATCGAACTGACTTCTCTGCGCTCGAGATCCGCAACACCCATTACCCGCTCCGGATACGACTCACTGGGACAGTTGCGACAATGAAGAGGGTGCTGAGGTGATAGTGGGAACTTTTTGCCGATGGGATCTAAAGATCACGCTTAGGCTTCACTTTGGATCTGAGTTTCAGTTACTCAATAACCACTAGGTCTCCCTTAAGAAGATACAGCTAGAATTCAAGCTTCGATAAGGCTTACGTTTGCAACAGACTGGGAGATTCCAATGTTTTCTTCAGTTAAAGATGGGCTGATCTACTCTTCAGTGATCGATTCCGTTCAATACCCAGTGACCTTCACCCTCGACTTCCTTCCTGCCTCCCCTTCCCCTGAGGCAGTTTCTGCTCGCCTGTCCTCTCTTACTTAATGAGTTTTACCAGTGGTAGAACAGCAACAGGTACGGTACCCATAACGGGTGGGCGCAGTTGAGGACCCGCCTACCTGGGCAGCCCCTAAAGCCGTTTCCTACGCCCAATTTTGTTGCAATGAAAAGCTCGGCTAGCATTCTTAACTCGAGC